GTTTTTTATTAGGAAATGTATGTCTGCGTCCAATTTAAGGGTGGAATCTATATATTTAACTCTGCGTGAAGATGTTATTTGTATTTGTTCAGTCTGGTTGTTTTTCCGTTTTATGTAAGTTAAATATTTGGCCATATGGTATAACGTTAACAGGATGAAAATAGGATGGATGTAGCAAGTATTGCAGTAGTTTACTCTCGATGTTCTGGTAAACATAACGGGTGATTTTTTAAGAGGTATAGGATTTGATTTAAAAAAAAACACAAAACATTTGAAAAAACGATTAAATCTTTATTTGAGTCGATAGAACGGTCGATATAATTTAATGTTTAAGATTATTTCATGTAAATGTTGGCCGCGGCTCCGCTTTAGATGGCCCATGCGCAAGGTCCAATTTTGGCACACTCTCTCCAACATATCGGCCGGTATCTCACGAATAAATGCTTCAATATTGGCTTCCATTGCGTCAATCGTTGCTGGTTTATCCCTGTAGACATTAGCCTTAACATGGCCCCACAAGAAATAGTCCAACGGCGTTAAATCACACGATCTAGGCGGCCAATTGACGGGCCCCAAACGTGAGATAAACTGTTCACCGAACTCGGATGCATTGGTAGCTCTTGCAATGCTTCTTTCTGGCTGGTATTCACTCCAGATGCGGCAATTTGGCTTGTTAACGTACCCATTCAACCAGAAATGAACTTCGTCGCTGAACACAATTTTTCGATAAAAATGTGGATCTTCCTCCAACTTTGCCAGCGCCTATTCACCAAATTGGAAACGTTGTGGGAGGTCGTGTGGCTTCAATTCTTGCACCAGCTGTATTTTATAAGGTTTTACACCCAAATCCTGTCGCAAAATTTTCCACGTAGTGGACTAACAGAGGCCCAATTGCTGCCAACGGCTGCGAATCGACATTTCACGGTCATCACTAACACTGGCGGATACAGCCGCAATATTTTCTTCAGTCCTCACTCTACGTCTGCGTGTTGGTGGTTTAATGTCCAATAATGTAAACTGGGTTCGAAATTTAGTCACAAGCTTCTGAATAGCTCCCTCTGTAGGCCGACCAAATTGCCCATAAATTGAAAGCAGTGCTCGATGCACTTTCTTAACCGAGCATGAATTTTGATAGTAAAATTCAATAATTTGCAAGCGTTGTTCGTTCGTAAGTCGATTCATGGTTAAATTATAGACCAAACTGAACAAGTTTGATAATGAAACAAGACACGATTCACGCGTCATCTGTCAAAAACAGTCTTGCCAAAAAGATACTAGCAAAAAAATCACCCATTAGTTCATTGACTTAAATGTTAAATAATATTGGACCTCCAAACTTCGCTGTTTTACCATCACTCATAGTATCATTAATCTTCACATAGTGTAGCCTATTTATTTAGCATGATTCATTAATGCGTCAAGTCACAATACAATAGAATGAGTAATGCAGTTTAAGTTATAACAATAGGTTATAAAGAAACGGAAAAATAACTATGACCAAAAATACAAAGTATGAAAGCGAAAGAACTTTTTTATTGTTTTTACTCCTGAAAGACTGGATAGTCTTCAGATCCTGGCCTGCTGTTAGAAAAAATTGCATTGTAAGTATGTATATGGATGTGATACACGATCAAACTTTCTTAGGCGTTCGATGAATCTTAAATGGGTATTCCTGCATTATCTGCCAACGTCTTGCATTAATAGAAGTCACACAAAGGTAATAGTTAAGCCGTATAACATTTTAGGAAAAACTAGACTTTGACACAATTTAGTTTGTGTTTGTTTGCCAAAAAAAAGCGTTATTCACATGGAAGTTCAAACGTAAGTTCGAGTCAAAGTAGATTCGAAAATTTTTTCTTTTTTCAGGAAACATAATTCGTCCTCATTAACTTCCATATTGATTAATGACTTAAAATTTTCACATAATTTTTTATTGCTAAATAAAAAAATACTGTCAAGATCTGCATTTACTAGCATCATGAACTCGTGGACATTGTCAGCACTGAAATCAGACTTCATCTGCGTATCATCCGGAAAAAAATCGAGGGAGAGCTAAGGTACAAATATCTTGCAATTAAAAGAGTATGTATAAAACATTTATTACACCTATACAGAAACTTTAAACACATGCATACCTTGAATTCTAAGTTTAGAGCGATACACTGATAGGTTTCAGTCCCCTATTGAACACCTATTGAAACAGCGAAAAAAGCCCGGAGCCGCAAAAAAGGTGTGAAATCCTACAAGGGCCATTTTTTAAGAAGAATCGTTTTGTAATGGGCCAGAGAAATTTAATTTATAAATTTAAATTGTATCACTAATTAAAATATATACAGTTTGTCATTTTTAACATAGTCAACAATAATGTCTCAAGTCGTGGCACCAGCTTTTGAATACCGTCATTAAAGAATGCTGCCGCCTGAGCGTTAAGCCAGTTAGTAGCTGTTTCTTTCAACATATCATGATTTTCCACCACGAAATTCTTTAAGCTTAGATTAGATATTAGGTTCAAAAAGCAATAAATGAGCTAGCATCGCTTGGTGTCTAGATTAACCTAGTTTATAAACAAACCGCATTTAAAAAGCCGAAATTGGCACTTTCCTATAATACCTCTGTTATTGATTTATATGAGCATCTTAAAGATCTTATTAATACTCCGCGAGTATTTTCAGAACCTCAGCCGTCGTCCTCGATGTTCCTTTCCATCATAGCTGCATATGTTTGTTTATATCGTGCAAAATCCGTCTGGTTGAACACAGCTGAAGACCTAATGTTGCAAATTTAGGAAGAGGTAAGCAAACTTGTATTTTTGAATCGCGTTTATAAACAAAACATGTGACAGGGCGGAAATTCCTAACAAAATGAATTGTGAGTATTCTTCTTCAATTCCTTTTTACGTTCTTGTTGTTGTTCTGCCGGAAATTAGCCTTGAAATTGCAAGCGTAGGTGACTTTGAAATGGAAACTCCGAACTTTCAGGACACAGTGTATGTCGGCGGGTGCAGAATCGATTAGTTATATACAGGGTGTTGGGGAAATAATATTGGTAACTTTATGAGGTGATTCCTTGCATTATTCTAAGCAAAAAACTCCATTATAACCTATGTCCGAAAATCAACCGTTTCGGAGAAAAAAATTCTAAACTTATTTCTTTTTAGTCATGAGATAAATTAATTTTGCACCTTAATAATTTAAATTCATATGCCTAATAGCGTGAAATAAATCAATAAATCTATTTATTAATTAACTGTCTCAAACAAAATAATTTTCGTGCTTATTAAATACAATTTTCCGAAGAAAAACAGACAAACAAAATCCCTCACACAACTGGCAACGTCGTGCTCCGCTTGCACTGCATGTATCATCGCGTGTTGTTGTGATTACAAATACATTTAACTGTAACTTAATGTGATTTACGGATGTTGTTTTTTTCTTTTTTCGTGCATCGCATCGTTTCAAATAAGTGACTGATAATCGTGGCAATGTGTGTCGCCACGTACTGGTAAGTTCTGTCATTTTTTTCAAGTAAATGTAATGTACTGAAAGCGTTTTTAAATAAAAAGTATTAGCCACAAAAATTTCGTAAAAGTATTCAATAATTCAAGGCATATTTTCAACAAGAATATCATACGTAAACTATTCGATGAATCAGTTGCGGTCGTCGTGCGCTCGTATCGCGGTTGCGTTGCAGCGTTGCCAAGTGTTTGAGAAAATTTAATTACTTACGACACACTTTCCTCGAAAACGATTGATTTTTTTACATAAGTTATAATGAACTTTTTCGCTTAGAATAATGCAAGGAATCACCTCTTAAAGTTACGAATATTATTTCCCCAATACGCTGTACAATATAAATTTAGACATTCGGATAAGGTAACAAATAAGTTTGGGCTAGATGATTGTTCAAGGTTCTACTGTGGTATATGTGCCACCGTCAGCCTAAAATCTTTAAAAATAGACCATACGAATTGGATGTACGTTTCATGGGGTTATGAGTCACTATAGATGAGTTGATATACCTATGCCTGTAAAATTTAGTTTATAATGCAAAATTCCCGTTTTCGTGCTTTGTGTCTCATATTTTCACCCAACAAGTAAATGAAATTCGGTACCCTGGACATGTTTATTTGTAGTAAATCAATGGGCTTTTCTAGGTCTTTCATAGATTTCGGTGAAAAACTGACATCAGATTTGTGACCTAAGCACACGATGTAGGCTAAATTCAGATGACGCTCGGACTACGCGCGTTCCATTGATGCTCGCTTTGAAAATACACAGAATCAATACTAGCTGTTCACATGGAAGCACGTATTAAAAAATGTGCAACTAGACGCAAATTATCTCAATACGTGCGTCAGTCAGCGTCGCTCCTTTCTATGTATGTATTGTTTTGTGCACACGTCTCAGTTGCATTCATGCCTTAAGACCTGTTCTATTTTCGCGTATACCTAGTACACCCAGGTTTACATGCCCCTTAATTCTGAACACGTTGAATAATTAATAGACAAAAAATCACTTCCTAGTACTGAATCCTGATAAATGGATGGCTGTTGCTTTTGGAAGAACAAAGAATCGAAATGATGTTTCTAACTCTATTTTGACATACAAAACCGCCTGCGGAGCCTGCTCCCTTACGCCGTAGTTCTGTTTTACAACAACTTCGTCCTCACGTTGTGGCAAAAACACAACCGGGCGAGTTTCGTTGCGAATTACGGGATGATCCACAATACAGCCCTGAATTAGCATGATCCAACCTTAATCATTTTCCAAAACTCAAAGCTTTGGTATGCATGTGTATGCTACTAAAAAAACCTTCTTATTATTGTCCAAATATACGCTCAGTAAAGGAATGTCCTAACTTTGAGGACGCCCTGTAAAGGAACTATTGCGGCTTTTAGCGCACAGAATCTCGCCTAGGAACAACACTGGATGGTACCGGTTATGTGAAGACAACGAAACAGCTCCATGCATGTGCAGCAGCACACGAAGAGCAAAAACAACCTAAACAAACAGCCAAAGAAGCCGCAGTCTAGCGTCTCGGTCTTCCGCTTGACTGGCGACATCTCCATCATACAATCAGCTAGGAACTCGTGTACTCTTTGTGGTTCCGTTATCATGCCTGAAAATCAGCGGCCTCGGTCCGTATCCGCGAACGGCGAAAATGTCGCGCGGATAGATGCAACTTTTACACTGTCAGAGCATATTGCGATCTTCATCCGGAATTTCTAACTTAATTCAAGTCATATCTAAATCATCGTGAATGTTTTATAGACTACTCTGGTTTACAGTCAATCAATATTTACGTTAGATTGACGGTACCTCAAAGCTCTATTCTTTGGCCCTTATCATTTAGTATACTTGTAAACGATCCACCTTGACTTGCAAAAGTCTTCTGTTTGCAGATGATTGGAAATTATTTCATAGCACTGACAATACAAAAGACTGCGAGTTATTACAGGCAGATTTGTTACATTTGGAGACTTCGTGTCATCGCTTATAATTATACGTTAAGTTTATAAGAAACAGTGAATTTCTGTACCTGGGAGTTACTATACTAAGTGACATATAAATCCGAACACCCAGTTTAAATGGTTTTATTTTAATAAAAGTTGGTGAATGTATTTATGTTACTGTAAATAACAAGTGAAAAAATTTTCAGCCTTATCAGTTGGACATTCCGGTTTTTATACTGCTTTTTTTTAATTCACTAACGCTCTAAAAATGAATATTTCAGCCGCAGTAAAGAATCAGCGTTGGCGGATTTTGGTTCTTGACATCCTTTACGATCGGTTACGATGCCTAGAGTACGGAGACCTGTACGATTTCGTCAACTTAGTGAGTTTGATAGGGGCCGTATAGTGGGACTTCGGGAAGCTGGACTTTCTTTTCGGGCAATTGCAGTTAGAGTGCAAAGAAGTGTAGACACTGTAGTTAGGTGTTGTCAGGCATGGCCTCGAGAAGGCCGTACGCAAAGAGCAAGGGGCAGTGGACGCCGCCGTAGAACAACAGACCGTGAAGATCGCCACCTAAGATTATTGGCCTTAAGGGACCGTTTCTCCACTACCAGGTCCATTGCAAATGAATGGTTTGCACAACACGGAAGACCTATTGGCATGCGAAGTGTTTACCGACGAATGAGAAGTTTTGGCTTGTTTTCATACCGGCACACTGGGTCCTCCCTTTAACTCGAGAACACCGACGTAATCGCCTTGAGTGGTGCAGACAACGGTCACTCTGGGATCAGGAATGGAACAATATTGTCTTTTTGTTTAGGCATGCACGATGGTCGTGCCAGGGTTAGAAGGCGACGTGGTGAAAGGAGGAATCCACAGTTTTTTGTTGAAAGACATGTTCATCACACTGTTGGAGTTATGGTTTGGGGTGCTATAGCTTATGGTTCAAGGTCACCTTTAATCTTCATCAGAGGTAACATGAACGCGCAGCGTTATATCCACGAAGTTCTAGAACCCCATCTTTTACCCTATCTTGACACCCTGGCAGATCCAACTGTCCAACAAGATAATGCCCGACCACATATTGCAAGAGACACAATAATAGACTTCTTTCAACATAATGATGTCACATTGTTACCATGGCCACCAAGATCTCCCGACTTATCCCCAATTGAGCACGTGTGGGATATGATGGGTAGGAGATTGCAATTTGCAACGTCCTCCTCAGACTCTAGAAGCACTTCGAGAGGAGTTGGTGGTTGCCTGGAATGAGATACCACAGGAGGACATTGACCACCTGATCAGAAGCATGCCTAGGCGCGTTGGAGAATGCGTAGCACATCAGGGTGCATCCACACATTATTAAAGGTCAAAGGGCTTTAAAGCAGTGCAATCATTTTGAAATTTTTATCATTTACTTATTATGCTTCATTAAGTACTTATACAAAATTTTATTAAAATAAAACCATTTAAACTGGGTGTTCGGATTTATATGTCACTTAGTATATTTACGCAAGACTATCATTTGTTCTCCACATCAACAATATAACATCACGGTTTTATAAAAGTTTGGGTTTTGTAATAAGAAATTCAAAGGATGTCTAAGCCTTGCACCATGCTTTCCTTATATTTTATTTTTGTAAGGTTCAAATTGGAATACTGTTCCGTCATCGGGAATTCGCATTACGAAGTGAATTCAAACAATTTGGGAAAAGTTCAAAGGCGATTTGTGAAATACCTGTGGTTCAAGTTAGATGGTGTATATCCACCCCATGACGTTCTCCTGAGCCGTTTCAATTTATCGAAACTGTCTGAGCTCAGAAAAATTTGCGGGCTTACAATTTCATTTCAAACTAATAGCAAAACGTCGACATGCGTTGTTCGAATAATCTCAAAACCAAAAGTGTTTGCGATCACAATATTTCCAGCAACGTTCAGATCGAAATTCCACGAACTGGAGTGCAGCAGCCAGGAGTTTTTTCCCGTCGTCCCATTTCTAGCATCTCCCCAGAGATAATACAGCAACTGTGCACCGAGGCAGCATGGCATGACATTTGTCATCTAAACAGAGACTGATGATGCCGCTCTCTTGCGCTTCGCGCTCCCCCCTCTCCTGTGTCGTCTTTTTCTGCTATTTCCTCCGTGCTGGTGCTGCAGTTCAGTTCCCGGCGGTATATATGAAGATGTTGCTTTTTCCAAACGCCAGCCATCCCAGTGCTACTCGCCGTAAGACGACGGCGGTCCTTCTTTTTCTCGTCCTTTTGCCGCGTTTATTATTGCGCCACCGCCATAGACGGCGAATATGGCCTTCGTGCTCTGCGAAATGCTTGTCTAGTATTGCGATAGAATTTTACAAAATCAATGATATGTTGTGCGATGTAGATTACCTGCGTCTTAGGTCCGCAGTATTATTACGTAAAAAACCTATATAGTGTAAAAAACTGACTAGATAGATCCTAGTGTGCAAATAGTTCATTCCGCGTTTGCTGGCTATAAGCGCTGTAAGCGTCACCAAAAACGTCACCTTTGAAACGTGACTCAACGACACATTCAATGAGCATGCTGCATGTCAGTTTCCCATTATGCTTTGTTGGTTGCAGACTAACAAAATTTGCATATGTAATTTCCACGATGAATAAGAAAAAGTGCATACGCAACTAATTTCTAGCTTTGCATATATCTGAGTAAGTGTATTTGAGACATGAAACCAATGGAATTATAATCAACACATACAACTTACAGCTCAGACCTACAGCAGTTACATCACATCAGAGCCAAGTGTTATGACGTTTAGGCAACACATGCAGCTGGTTCTAAGTTAACATCTTGTATAAAAACCTACACAAAGTCACAAAAAAACCTATTTAATATCAAAAAACCAACATGATGTCACTTTTCAAGAAACTTAATACCTCTGGCGGTTTTCAATCGCAGGTTAGATGCTATTTCACTGCTAACTGACATGGGTACCATGTAAAAAATCTATAAAAGGTCAAAAGAACCTATAAGATGTCATCTTGCAAACTAGGTAGTTTTTAGGGCGTAAACAGTCATTCCACGTTTGCTCACTAGGATCGTTGTGAGCGTCCATCTAAGGAGGAATCACTCAACTAAGCTACACGCATTATTGGTTGCATATGTTTTGTGAGGCCAAATAATGGTCCTTGTCTGTAGTTTTTATCTCTGAGAAGGAAGTTGGTTGATTACGTGTATTGGTCTGCATGTGTATAACGTCAGTGATATTTGCTGTGTGAGAAAATCATTACTGACATCTTGTGTCATTATTAATTTGAATCTAATAATTTAAGTACTGTTCCTACAGAAACACAAACGTTAGACTAGATGATGAAAGCAATAATAAACCGCCCTTCCACGTCCATGGAATATATAAAACATCCGAAAATAATGTCAGTTAGGTCAGGCAATCATAATCTACAGGATATAAATAATTAGACTCGCATAAATTATGAACTGGCGTACACGCAACTTGATATAATGCAATTCTCTTCTGAAAATATATCTTGTTCTAGGTGAAATTTATAATTTTAATAAAATAGCACCAAGAAAAGCATAAAATATATTGTATACAGGGTGTAAACGTTATGTTAGTCATTATTTAAATGGGTGATAGAGGGGTTTAAAAGAAGCAAAAAGTTTCATATAACATGGGGGTCAAAACGCCATTTTTTGAGAGAAAAGCGACTTTAAAGTAAAATAAAATCTGACAACGCCGCAATGCCAGACGCAAATTATGACGGAACGCAGTGTAAATAAAGATAAAGTTTGTTATTTTTGGCTCTTAGGTATTATTTCATTATTTGATAATGTACTCGTAAAATGCAAACAATTAATAAAACGGGCTTACCACTAACTGTCTCAGCGCTTCACCTGTTGTGTGAAAGTTTATTGAACGTATTAAAAATATCCACTTATAAATAGAGAACACAGTTTTGATACATACATTGTTTTTCTTTTTAAAACCCACACTGCACTTTTTTGTATTTAGAAAATGTCCCACAGTCCGGAAAACTTGATGTCTGCACATATCAACAAGTGGGAATACAATTTGTTCTCTTCTGACACTACTGAATGTTATACGAAATTTGATATATTGATTCCTTGATTTAATTTACCTGTTTCGGCTACATTTTATCTTCGTGATTAAGTACTGATTACCTTTATTAGTCCGTTTATCTTATCTTACCTTTACGTTATATTTTCTTGCTTATGTTGATTTTGGACGTGTCATAACTGATGTCCCGATCTTGATATTATTATTACGTGATTCTGGCACGTGACAAACTTTTTGACTTATTTTGATCCCCCCTATTACCCATTTCAATAATGACTACCATAACGTTTACACCCTGTATATTACAGCTGAAAGTTATCCAGTCATTGTCTCGCTGATTAATCCACATGCTCTGATGGTAAAATCAAACCACAGATGAAATAATGAAAGTTTACTAACTTTCCGGCCACATCAGAGGTCTTTTTTCAAATCATAGTTTATTTTCATTTTTTGAATTGTACTTTTAAAAAATTCATATTACAACGAAAACGAAATAAAACAACCTTACGCAAAAACTTGCTATGACATTCGAAAATAATCGGTATAGCAATAAGTATAGTTAAGAAGTAACAAGAAAGTTGTGGAAAAGAGA